GTCACAGTCTAGCAGCTTACAAGTGCTTCCAGGGGCCATCACAAAATGTCTGCCTGCCTGTTCCTACGACACGGCTCAGTAGGTTTACAGGAAATCTGTGATCCGAATCTCTCCATCAACTCAATGAATCTCTCAAGGGCATCCCCTAGTGCAAGGGCCCACACACACATACACACATGCACATAAAACCACACATGGGCATACAGACACAATGTGTGCATGGGGCAGATTAAATTGTGTAAATATTTAATAAGATAGGACTTTAAATTTGCAGAAACTATACCCTCATTACACCGCTGAATGACTCATATAAGGTTCCATGTCATTTGTTAGCATGTGTTTACACCTGGCAATGCAGTTTGTGTTTGGCATGACTGTTCTTCTTGGCATATTAATGTTCCTGAAACTTGGTGATGATTTTCTTTCTGTCGAGCTCATCTCATATTGCTCTGAAAGAGTGCTGAGTGCTTTCAAAGATATATATAGCTACATAAGCCATATATATTACAGAATCTGTTTCCATTATGTTTTTTTATTTTGTCTGTTCCTTGTAGGTAAGTAAAATCTATTTTATACTGTCTATGGGTAAAATCTATAACACACCTACACACTGAAGAAGGCACACATTGTAATGCCGGTAACTGTTGTTTTGTGTGCTGACGCTGCAATGGGTGAAAATGTCTCTTATTCATTCTTCCTCTCAAAGTGCTTATTCTATTTACGTGGTGACTGTGAGTGTATCTTTGCATGCGTTGCAAGCAAGATTCTTTGTGTTTGTGCATTCAAAAACTAAATCAACGCAGGGAAAGCAAAGAACAGAAACGGTGGTGACTGAGAATTGAACTCAACATTTCATCCACTGCAATAATTAAAGATTATTTTAATGTCTTCTGGCTATCTGCAACCCCAGTGACCTCCACTGCCAGATAATCAAACATCGTTCAGAACTTTTTTTAACGAACATTTGCACAAAGTTTTTGTTTCTATTGACTGATGTGTCACTGTCACTCGGCCTGTCTGAAAGTCAGTGAAAAGTGGCAGCTGTCTCTGAAGTGCCGTCTCGCTCAGTTTTAATAAATAATCCCCAGTCACTCTATTCTCCACTCTCTCCCTCTCTATCCCCCTGCCTCTCGAGTTTTGTCCCTTTCACTACTTATCTAAGTCTGCTGCCTCTCCCTCCTCGCCACTCTCTATCTCTGCTTTGCCATTCTCTTTCCCTCCCTTTACTCTCCCCTTTCTGCTTGTCTGTCTTTATCACTCCCAGCTGCCAATCTCTTCGTCCCTCTCCTACCATCTCCGACTCCCCCACTTTAATACTCAGCTTCCTCTTCCCTCTCTTTCACTCGCTCTCTCTCTCCTTTCCGGTCTCTCTTTAGAAGCTCTTATCATTTCTAAGTTGCTCAAAAAGAGCCACTTCCTCTGTCATCTCTTCTGGGAGTGCTGGTACATTGAGCCTGTTCTAAAAGCTCAGAGTCCTTGGATGGAGTAAGGTACTGTGGGTGCTTCATTTTTCCAGAGTGATGGCAGAGGTACGGTATAATTAAAGGAGAAGGACTTCTCTCACACACTCTCCGCCCTTTCTTCAGTATGTCAGTATTTCTCTCCTCTTATTGCTCCTAGTCTGTCCTCCTTTGGCCACCTCGCCCTTTAGAATAGCTAAACAAAACACAAAACGCATTATGACCTTGTGAGTGTGAACGGATATACAGCCACAGGAATAGACTGAGGAATTGATTACGCTGCCACATACTCCATCTCGTAAATGAACCCGATGTATATTGGCAATCCTTCATCACAGAGAGCAAAGCTGACTTTATGAGGCCTTGGTGTCCGCTCTTTGTCTTTGACTACATTTAATATGCTGTTATTGATTATGAGCATCCAGCCACACTATCGTTTATTCCTTTGTCTATACCTGCACTTCAGCATTAATAACTGCACATAAATAATTCTGCATTAGCCACGAACTATGAGATGTGACTTGTGATATAACAGTTTTTCTCACTTTATTTCCCCCTTCAAATTGTATTTTCTCTTATTCAACACAACACTGATATCTCACCCAGTCTAGTCATCAAACACACGTCAGTCTTTTAACCTGGTGGCGTGACATTCAGCCCAGGGTGCCTGCCATGTCACATCCCGCACACATATCCAATTTAACGGAAAGTGACAAGACACCTGTAACAAGAGGACTTTTCTCTTGGCTCCCTCCCACTTTCGACCCTGCCTGCAGTCTCTTTCGTCATCTCCCCCGCTGCAAACTGAATTCATTCCTTGACTTGGTATTATTGCTGTAGCGTTACCCTACGAAATAGGCCGTTTGGGGGGGAGTTTAAACCACAGCAGCAAGGGGGATAGCTAGCTCTCCCTCAATCTATATCTGCTGATTGCAGACACAAAGTGCACTGGTGTGGAAAAATATGCAGCATAGCAAATCCTTGTTAAGACCCAGCAATCTGTTAGATCTCAGACTGATCTGTCCTGCTCAGTTCTCTGGGTGTAAGATACAAATGTTGCATTAAGCTAATTAGACGCTTAACAAAATTGGGCTTTTGTTTGCATGGCGTTTAAAAAGGGAAATACAGAATGGCAGCAGGCAAAACTCATTATATTATAATTTTATTAAAGGAATAATTCGATATTTTGGGAAATACATGAATTAACTTTCTTGAGTTAGAGTTAGATGAGACGAATGATACTCTCTTATATGTGTATGGTCTTAGAAGCTTCTGCCAGCAGCTGTTTAGCTTTTTGGCATAATGAGTAGAAAAAGGGAAACAGCTAGTCTGGCTCTGTTCAATTCGCTGACCACAAATTAACATATCTTGTTGGTAAAATCTGAGAAGATAAACACTCTCATGTCCGTACAGTAGTGCCGTCATCTGGTTAGCTTAGCTTTGCATAGCATTAAAATAAAACTTGAAATAGGGAAAAACAGCTAGCCTGACTCAGTTGGAAGGTAACAAATGCTACATTTCAGCGTCATAAAGCTTACGAAAACCTTATATTGTATTTGTACAATACGTAGCCTACATACATCAAAGAGTAACAACAAGTTGTGATTTTAAAGGAGGGTTATGTGCTGGACTATTCTGAGGCCGGGGGCAGTTGCTCAAGAAATACAGCCCCTGTAATTTCAACACAAATTGTTGTTTTTACACTTATATAAGATCAAACTAAGAAGTGAACTAGTGCCTTTTGGGGGTGCTGGTCTGAAGATTTTGTTACCTTTGGAAAGATATGGGAAGGCTGTTTCCATTCTTTATGCTAATAGACATGAGTTGTATCAATCGTCTCTTCTAACTTGAGGCAACAAATTATAGTATTTTCAAGAATGCCAAACCCTTCTTTTAATGATCCAGTGTTTAACATTTAAGAGTATCTATTGGCATAAATGGAATATATATTCATTATGTTCATTACTGTATAATCACTTGAATATAGGAATCGTTGTTACCTTAGAATGAGCTGTTTTTATCAACAGATGTCATGGGTCGCCTTCTGTCATTCTCTGTGAGTCTGTCCAGCTCAACGAACGAAACCCAGATCAAACTGTCAAACTAGGTAGTGGTGATCAAATACAAAGCAAAATTCTGTTACTGCATTGTGTATTTCTCACCTAAATTCAGAAACCAGCCAGTGTAGTTTCCCCTACACACTTCACAGCCCATTCTCATTCCCAGGTCGTCGACTAAATCCTACACACTGGTCCTACACCGATGAGATACTTTGCATTCAAAATGTCAACTTTAAACATTCAAACCTTTCAAAGTGGAATAGGAAACTGAAACTTTACACTTCAAACTGAAGGTACCTTGAAGTGGTTGTGGTTAATCTAGCAGAGGCCACGAAAAGGTGTGGACCAATCATAACATGCCATTTCAGATTTATTTCACTTTAAGCCTACCTTAAGATCAGGTCATGGAAAACTCCAGGTGGTATGTCATAAAAATATTTGGCACTGCTCTGGGCTATATACTGGTAAATAAATAATATTGCTTCTGAGACATCTGCACCAACACGGGGTAAACACAGTCAGCCAATATCAGCTCACAGCATTCAGCACGCAGCCTCCTTTCAATCTCTCTGGTAAACAATCTGGGTGGGGGGAGATTGAAAACAGCAAGCACCCGCACCCGGATTTACATTCCAATCAAGTGACACCCCTGTCAGAAAATGGCTTCATTTTCTCTAAAGCACGCACGCAGACACACACACACACACACACACACACACACACACACACACACACACACACACACACACACACACACACACACACACACAAGTCCATTAATACGAAGATGCACACATACAAAACAAGCACACCTGATGTGCACAAACACACCCCCATTATCTCTCCACTCTTTTTGCCCCCCCCCCACACATAGTGATTTCTGGCCAAGTCTGAGTTGTTGGAGCGACAATGCAAGGTGAGCGGTCACATCTGGTAGCAGGAGGCATTGTACTGCATCTCTGTCCTCTTCCCTGCTCCCCCTACTTCCTTCATCTCTCCTCTTGTTATTGAGATAAGATCAAAGACAAAGGCTATCTCTCGTCGTTTTTTCAACCTCTCCATATATGCTGTCCATTTGGAATGGGGGGGGGGGATGAGGAGACATATAAAAGGGGCTCAGACACTTTACTGTTGACCTTGTCAGGAGCTATTGCTTCATGATGATGTTTGCTCCCTGAGAAAGTCAGAAGTGCTGCTTCATTTGATGCAAGACAAGCCTCATTAAAAACCTATTTGGATTGCTTTGTGTTTATAGTTTAGAAAGAATAATGATAATCCTCAATGCTGCTAACTTTGCTTTAAATGTCACAGTGCAAATGTCACGGGGGAGCTGTTCTTTTAGGGCTGCAGCTATACGCTTGATGAAACATAACCTAAAGCAAGTATTGAATCTTAACTGGGAACACTGAGCATACCCCATTATAGTCCAAAACAAAAAATCCCTGAATCCTGTTGTTATCATTAGAAATACAAGAGGATAAACATTTTTCTCTAAAGTACTTTATTGCCTTTAAAACGTGAGAAAAGACAATGTGCTGATTTTGAAAACTACACTTAGAATGACAGTGATAAGGTACGAGCTAGCCGTGACATGAGGAGCAGGGTCGGCAGGTCCACAGTCGGTGGGATCCATCTGTTCTGGGAGCTCAGTCCATCAGCGGTGGGCAGACTGGCAGAGAGGAAGACAGGCAGCTCCACTGGCTGCAACACAAGACACGAGCGGGGAGGAGAAGCAGGACCCATGTCCTGTGTTGCAGCCCCTGGCCCAGCCAACAGGTCACCTTCAGCTCAGGCCGGCAACAGCTGATTCACTGTGAAGAGGAAGACAGGGAGACACAGGGGAAGGAAATGGGGGAGAGAGGGGGGGGAATAAAGTCAATTACAATAGATTCTGTGTGTGAGACAGTGGGTGCAGATGGAAGAAAACAAGAGGAAGAGAGTGACAGAAAGTGGTAGGACCAGAAAATGAGACGGGGAGCGCAGGGGAAAATGAACGAGAAGGCTCACAGAATGAAGGAAAATACTAATGGAGAGGGAATGAGAGTGAGAAAGAGAGCGCCAAAAGGGCGATGCACCTCTACAGACACCGCATTCATCACCTGGCCAATGAAAATAGCCTTTTTCACCTTGCAAAGAGGGGGTTGGCCTTCCCAGCTACATCTCATATCCACTATGCTCAACAACCAGAGAAAAACGCTCCTCTGGCCCAAATTGCCTGACTAGAAGGTTAATGACTACTAGTGCCACAGGTCCACAGAAAAAAAGATCTGTCTGCAATGTCCTTATATAAAACCCCCGTGGAAGAATTAGAGCGTGCCATTGGGAATAAATGTAATCATTATTATAGTTGTGCATTGTGTATTGAAAAGACATAAGATCTGTTGGGGTGTTTTGGGCGTAAAAATGAGAAACGTGTACAAGCAAACTGGTGTTTATGCTGTCTGTGGGTGTCATGGGGAAGCAGTTTGTCATCAAAGAGGCAGAAGGCATGCAATCAATTCCCAAACCACCCCAAAGCCTCTGTTATTCTCTCTCATTTTCTACTCGTCTCTCTCAGGGAGTCTGCCATGTAACAGGCATTAAAAGGTCAAAGCTGAGTGAACTCTAAGCTGCGTGTATCACAAACAAAGGTCTGAAAATGTCATGGCTTCACAGACATGTCCTCATATCTGCGGAAGCAACATCAATAGGCGAAACAACAAAAAATAATCAACATCCTGTTTTTCTCTGACATTTACCCCAAATTTCTAATGTGGTGTATTTCTGTCAGGTTCATCTTCCAATCATACCAGTCCTTTTTCAAAGATTCTTACATCAGCCTCACTGGTTGAACCAGACTTCAGCTTTTGTGCTGCAGTACTGTTAGGCAATTACACGAGTATCTTTCTTCTGCCTGGTTCCTTGTAGGAAAATGAGTCCAACCTAGATTTCAGACTACAGGGATATGAACTCAGAGGACAGATGAAAAGAGCTGAAGGACGAAGCAAGCAAAAAAAAAAGTAGAGGAGAGCCAGGGGCAAAATTCAATTCGTTTAACCTTTTTTCCTATTCTGAATAAAAAAGCTTGTAAAAGAGAAAACATATTTTGAAAAAAAAAAAGAAGGTAAAATACAGTTGGGGTTTTGAATGGGTTTTGGGTCAGAGTGGAGTCTTTTAAAGCTTTAAAGGTAACACTGTGAGATAGAATTGCACAGATATTTTATCAGAGAGGAGAGAAAAGGGCTGCCTAACACTTGGGAATGATCCTTTTGAAGTATGCTGTCAGGAATAGCTGATCTCCTACATCAAATGCTCGAGGCATTGCCGCGTTGGCTCCTTTTGTGATCGAAGTCACAGTGCATCCCTGCCTTCATATAGGACATTTGACAAAAATAGGGACTAATAATGGATGGCAGACTACTGGAAACTGCTCAAGGCAACTTGGCTGTGTATAGAAAGAGGCCACCCAGATTCTACATTAAATCGTTTATGTGAATTGCCTTTCATTACCGCAGCAACAATGGGTTTTGACAGAACTGAAATGACTTTGCCAGACGAAAATGCAGCAGACACAGTGTGCAATTAATGGGACTTGTAATTGAAGTATTGATGTTGAGCCATAAGTCCCACTTATTCTCCATAATCAGGACAATGATCACACAGAGTGTAATGGATACGTGCCGTGCATCCCTTTCCCAAAACCTTATCATTTGAAAAGATCCTCCCCTATTCAAAGATTCACACAATAGACGATTTAACAATGGTGCATTGTGCCAGCTGTAACAATGGTGAGGCTCCTCTGATCAGTGTGTGATATGGAGGCAGATTTTGGTTTGCTGGCAGATCATAGGGAGAGGAGCCAGGGCAAAAAATATGCACATAGTATGATTGCTACATTCACAAGGAAATTGTTGAGGAGGAAACAAAAGGAAATCACTAGATACCTACATTTACATAATGCCAGTGCCCCAATGTCATCTGTAGTTTATGCTTATTAATATAACTGTTGTATACACATATTTGTAATGAGACAGTCTACAGAGCCAAGGCCAAAGTGAAAAAAAATTACAGATATTAAATTACTCACGCAATTGCTCAAGCTGTTCATTATCACATGAGGCAAAACACATCACTCGGTCCATCCATAATGTAACAGTGATGGATGGCAGTATGAAGCTTCATGTGCACAGGCATGCATGCATTTGCATGCGGATGCATACATGTGCATTAAATGCTATTTGAGGTCATTGAGACTGCAGATTGGCTTGGCAACAGTCAGTTAGCTGTCTTGGATTTGACTTATGAGGGGAAAGTAAATTCTTCTCTGGCAGCCACTTTGGGTATGAGGCCGCAGGGAGCTAACAAACAGGAACTATCGATTCTACACAAGATTTTACACCAGAGTGTGTAGATGTAACTTTAACTTTTAAGCCTGACATCCAACTGGTACATTTTAACAATTACCTTAAATGACCGCCACTGGATGAATAAGATCATGGGCCACACATTTATAGATAAACCAAAGGTTACCAAATTTATTTCAGATCAAAGTTCACAGGCTTACTAACACTCACTTTACCGTGAAAATTATGTACACCCATAAAGCTTTTCAGTGCTTTTCAGGGCACGTCTTTGAACACCAAACTCTCGCTTATTTTATTCTGAAAACATCACATGATGGAAAAAGGCTTTACTATTCATCGCTATTCCTCTCCTTGTTATTCTCTAGGGATACACAACCTTTTACAGAGACCTTAGCTGGTCCCTCCACTGGGTCCCTTCCCTTGGTTTCTTGTGAAAGAGCCACTGTTCTCTTGGGTTCTGGATGCCGGGATTGTCCTGATCCAAACAAACACTGTTTGCAGAACTAACATCTTTGTTCTTTATAACCTGATTATGCATGGTGTGCCAAAGTAGTCTGTACCAGCAGCTCTGCTTCCCAAGCACACATGCCAGCCAGTGCATGTTCACATAGGAATGTACACATGCTCACTCAAACACACTTTCTTTCATTGCCTAAAAATGGACTTGGATACTGAGACCTATTAAGAATTTTGCTCCAAGGCATTGGTTTAAAAAAAAAAACTGTGATAAAGGAGGAATATATAACAAGGTCAAATAACAAGATCACCTTCTTTTCAGTTTCCACATATTCCTTCACTGCGAGCGGTAGCCTACGGTACGTTTTGTTGAAAATAGCGCAAATGAAAAATGAATTCTCTTGGCCTGTACTTGTGCAGCTTCCAGTAACAGTTGAGTGACTCAGTCCTCTTCACAAATCTCCACAGAGGGAATAATCACTTCAAATGTTGAATAGAAAATTATATTTATCTCACAGAGTAGCTTTATGAAACAGCATTTCAAAGCCATCAGGCTACTGATTGTGAATGAAGTAGAATGTGAGAGCTGTTGTCCTTGAAGTGATGTGTAAATGAATGCGTGTTACCTCCCAAAGAAGCCATGCAAAGACAAGACATCTTCCAACCTGCACACAGACAAAAATCTTTTGAGCAAGTGATGCTGTGACCTTGGTTTTCTCGTGTTCCTGCATCAGGCTATTCACTCACACTGTGATTGGAAGAAATGAGTCTGATAAATGCATCACAAGCAGGGGGTGCTTGAAGAGTGCTTACTCTCTGAATGATGCATTAAAAATATAAATCATGCCTCCATAACTAAGAAGCACAGGTCTGGAAAATGTGGGAGTGCAAACATGCACACACTTGCACAAGCATACATGTTTACAATGAGACACAAGAAAAAAGATAGAGGCACTAGCTGCTAGAAAGCAGTAAATAAGCTCAGGATGAGCAAGACTCCACTAACAATATGTTAACTAAAACAAATGCAGCCAGTTATCAGGACACAGCATAAAAACTGACTCACTGAGTGACCTTATCGCCATTAATTATTAATTCAAGTGGATAATTACACTCATTACAGAATATAGGCTGGTAAACTCAGCAATGTTCCAGTCGGAGACGTGTGAAGTCAGGGAGTTCTCCGGGGAAATGACCTCAGATAACAGCTGCAGACAAATGCATATCTGCGATTCACATCAGTATGCAGGAGAAACCTGATTGAAGTGGACTTCAACTTGTTATAGCTGCACGACTGCGAGAAGTCATCACAAAGATGTACAACATACACATCTGACTGTAATCACGCGCACGGAAGCACACACGCGCGCAGCAGTACAGCGCATTGTGCCTTTTCTCCTGAGCTTTCTCAGCACTATTGGAGTTGGTGTTGCGTTTCAGAAGTGATAGCTGGCTTGATGACTGCTGCTGGGATTGGCTTTTCCCTGCAGGTGCTGACGTGACACTTTGGGATGTCTCTGCTCCCCTGTGAGGTCCTCCATAGGTGAAAGAAGACTCCTGCTGGCACCAGACCTGTCTGACCACTGCACAATGTGAGACAGGTGTGGTACTCCGTGGCTCAATGAGGAGTGCATTTAGACAGTCAGGTCTGCAGGTTCCATCATTTGACAGTCAGTGCAGAGCAAGGCACTTTGGCAATTTTAGGGCTTAAATTCCCCTTGGTATAACTGATTCTAAAAATGTGCACGACTGAACTCAAAAGCTAAAGCATCCATTGAATTTCTAATGTTAGTGTGTGGGAAATCAATTTGCTCTCACTTCCAGGCAGCCTTCAAAGACTTTACTAACACTACAACACTGGCTAATAATTGCATGAAAGATCTCCATAGGCTTCAGGTTTTCTGTGCACTGCAAGAAAATGAGGTTCATTTGTAACCATGCAGATGAGTGGAGAAGTATTCTACAAGTCTTTGAACGTGCATTTGTGGCTCATAGCAGCAACAACATTCATTTGTGCCAATTTACTGTGTGAGACCTCAGAATCAGTGAATAGGAGAACATTCAGCCTACCTTTCCATCACTGTCCTGGCGCTTTCTCATTTCAGCAGCACGGCAGTAAAGACTGGATGAGGATGTGGTCGCAGTTTGAGCACCATATCAACCTCTCTACGCTGCCTGCCTGCCTCTCTCTGTCTGACTCCCTGGGAATCGCGAGTCAATTTAGTCCCTGGTAGTGTGGGAAAATCCGTTTATCCGCGGACTACACTTTTACGCGGAGCTGCACCGCTTGCCTATTTCAATCTTGTGTGGAAGCGCCCTGCCTGACAGCGCCTGATAGAGTGAAGATTTACACGCGGACAAAGTGAGGAGCAATCCCTCACACTTCAGCTTACTCCATCAGTTTCTGTACGCTCTATATTGGCCCGGTGATTTAATATCTCTTCAGCGACTGGTGGCTAACCCCCCCCCCTTAAAGCACACGCACATACGCACGCACTGCAACGAAAGAAAGTATAACCTGTAAAGACCAAAGATTAAGCCATAATGGATACAAATAGACTACAAATAAACATAAAAATAATATAATAATAATCGCTATAAAAAAATGTACAATGTAGAATATTGTACAGTATTGTTTATTTCTAATGCCCTATATACTCCTTATTACACTTTACTTGGCCAAAGTTCCAAAGGGAACCAAACAGGATAAAAATGATCACTTATTTATTGATGGTGTCTGAGGCTATTTTATTAAAACTAAATTAAAAAAAAACAATTATAAGAGGCTATAATGACGCTAAATTTTATGTCTTCGACTAAAATCGCAGCATCTGTCATATATAAATGCGACTAACCTACCGTCAGGCTGGGTGGTTATTCCGGGAAAAAAAGATGTGCGTAAAACGCACCGGTCCGGCGATCAGCCCTTGGAGACGAGCAGAACAGGATCTGTATTGTCGGTAGTGCTGAATGAAATCCCCTCTTGTCTCGAACAAAACCTCTTTGTAACTTCTGTCTTGTCATCTCACGTCTCTGTTCCACCGGGCGTGTGTCTGACCGGGTTGCTTCTTTTGATATCCGCACCCCAAAGGGTACCCATCGGTGCGCACTCAGTAGGCTCTTCCTCCCTGCTGCCGCTGCTGCTTCAAAATATCCAATTTCACACTGTAGCTCTCTTTCTCCCAGCAGTATTCCCTTTTAGAGCCGATGTAATAATGTCACTGGAGACTGCAGGAGTTTTATGGCCTATAGTACAATACCTCGAGTCCTTGTCGGATGGCATAGTTTAATGTCTGTGTTCTTGGACTCAAGAAACCCGGGTTGTTAGTGCACTGATATGCGCAGGATACAGCAATAATGATGTCAACATACCCCACTGTCGTCTAACATTGGTAATTCTTACTGTCCAATAAGATCCAAGGAATGATGACATCAAAGGATATCTGTTCAATAGAGCTGGGCTGCGCTAAATTAATATCTTTTGGATAGCTCAGAGATGCAGTCATGAGTTAGTGTGTGAGTTTTTAACTTTGGCTGTAGATAACATTACTGTCTGATAAATTATCACAAGCACTGACTCCAGACCGGGGCTGTTAGTAACCTGATTCTTGATACCTGAGTTTTAAACAAGCCTTGTAAAAGTCCCTCTTAAATCAAATTAATTTTCAATGTGAAAGAAAGATTTTTTTTTTATTTTAGTCAATTTTTAGGACTAATTACAAAGTGGGAGAGAATTACATTATAATAAATAAGCAGTAAGTTACTGAACCCTAGCTGCTCCGTGGTGTGCTTCTGATTTACTCAATCTCCCACAATGCAACGCAAGAAGCGGCGTCAGAATCTCGCGACCCAACGTGTTTTTTTTTTTTTTTTTTTTTTTTGTCGTTTAGCAACCAACCTAGCGTTAGCTTTGTCTAGACCGTAATTAATAGCTTCCTAACACTTACTGGCCGTTGTAGCTCCCGCGGTGTGAGTGTGAAAGGTCTTTTAATCCCCATTCCACCTCAGTGACAACTTAAACGTTTTGTTTGTTGGAAGTTTTTTAGCGGGAACAGCGGCGGAGTTTTATCACGAGTCGCACCAGCTCCCTGTTTGGAAAATGAAGTATGCTCTTGAAGAAACATCAGTCAGCTTTCTGCTTGACGCTTCTCTGATGTACAGAGAAACATGTCCGGGGATATCACGGTACTTCATGTAAGCAACTTTGTTTAAAATCCTACATGAATGTGAGTCCTTACTTTCTGTGCTTTTATTGTTGTAATGGCAGCATGCAGCCGCTAGGTGGAGGAGCTCGACCAGTGTTAACGGTTGACTTCCTGCCAATGTGATCAGAGCTGTGCTTATAGATTGAAGGTAGTAACTTATACTGACATCTTTATTTTATAACGTTAAAGAGTGGGCTCGAGATTCTTACAGTAGTCTATAAGACTCTATATATATATATATATAGACTGCTGTAAGAATCTCCCTCTCTCTCTCTCTCTCTCTCTCTCTCTATATATATATATATATATATATAGAGAGAGAGAGAGAGAGAGAGAAAAAGCCAAAGGATTTTACATATATATATATATATATATATACATGTAGGGAGGAAAAGCCAAAAGATTTTCCAGAAATATTTACACATAAAATAGACGAGTCACAGTAAATCAGCATTTACTGTGAACATAACCAAAATATAGGATTGTTTTGGTGCGTTAACAAATATTGATGATGCCATAACACTTTTAACAGTATAGGAAAGCATCAATAACATATAATTAAGTCAAATTGAGGGTGATGGCAGGGAACTAGTAGTGGTAGGTTGGGGCTCTGTTACTAGACCTACTCTATTTGAAAAGATAACCTTTGTTATGAATTGGTGCCTTACAAATAAAATTGTATTAAATACTAAACCACTGTTCAAAGGGCAAAATAATACTACTAATAATAACTTTATTCACAGAGCCAGGCACTGGGGCCGAATAGAAACAAGATTTAAAACATGGTAGAGTGAAAACAATGCCATTCAAAAACCTAATGTAATTAATTCTAATTTATAGATATATATGTATATATAATAAGAGCAGAGCAGAAGCCATAAAAATAAATAGAATAAAGTGAACAGATGACAGATCAACTAAAAGCAATAAAATCTATAAAAATGGGTTTTTAAGGAGTTACTGTAAAAGCACGGTCATCTTAAGATTTAAGCCTCGACTTTGAAACAACCAGAAGGGACCTAACATTGGACCTAAGATTGCAAACTGGCTCATTTCTGCTATGTAGCTTGGTGCCAGACCCAGAGGTGCTTTAAAGACAATTAGTAAAATCTTAAAATCAATTCTAAAACGAGCAGGGAGCCAGGATTGGGGTGATGTGATGTCGTCTGTTAAAACCAGTAAGAGGCCTAGCTGCTGCATCTTGAACTAGTTGGAGACGAGAGAGTGACTTTTGGTTTATACCACAGAGGAGGGAGTTACAGTAGTCTGAACAAAATGAGTGCATGAATGACTTTTTCCAACTCGGGGTGAGAGAAGATTGGTTGCGGTACACCACAGGTATTGTGAGTTGTAGAAGATGAATAATTATCTGTGGTGACTGAGAAGGTTCTCTTTAAGAGTTAAGAATAACACCAACTAACTGCAGTGTCATTGATGCCAGTACCAGTACCAGTGGGTACAGTGGGTTGAGAATTGGCTGTGGCTGCAGTATCGCTCCTCTTACCACATATGTGTGCATTTAAATCTGCATAGGACTTGGTTATATATCACCTTCATATTTTCTGTCATTTCCATAAATTTGCCCATATGACAATGTGTTACGGCCATCTTAAGGGATGACAGATCATTAGTGACTGATCTATGTTCACAATGATAAACCACATTGTGTTTGTCCCTCGGAAAAGACAGCAAGGTGAGTAAGATCAAGATATTGTTGTTTATTTGAACATTGAATAGTGCTTCTTATTGTGAAGCATGAATGTTTGTAGTAGTTAGGAGTCCTGCAGCTATTCCTATTACATGATTGGCCTATTGAAGCTGGACTTGTGTCCAGTGATTGCAGGTGTAGTGGGGAAGTTTGTGCAGCACCCGAGCACCTTCCTAACAAGCATAAAAATGAGAGCAACTCAAAGAAAACAAAGGGCTGCTAGCAAAGACTCTCCCTCCAATCATCGGGTAGGAGACAGTCTGTAAGCCTCCTCTCCTCTCTTCTGTCTTTTGCATGGCTTTCAAAAGGACCTGTACAGAGAACCAAGGGTTTTCCAACTTCCCAACTGTCTTTATCTAATTAGCCTCATGCAGTCAAGTCTTCCCATTCCTGTTAGAATCAAACACGACAGTAATTAATGCCAATTTCTAATTGGCTTCATCATTTACAGTTCACTGCTTCAGTTTTCTTGCTTTTGCCAAAATAAGAATTTATTCCATTTTCTTCTGATGGCGTATCCCACATAGTGGTGATTGCCTTATTGTGTGAAATGTGAAAGCCAAAAGTAATTTCAGGAGAAATCCTCTTAAGCCTTTGTGTGTGTGTGTGTGCGTGTGTGTGCGTGTGTGCGTGCGTGCGTGCGTGCGCGCGTGTGCATGTGTGTGTGTGCGCTTGTGCCCTGCATACTTCCAGGTGGACTGTCTGCGTGTTAAAAATTTCTTTAGCATTTATATGGGTATTAATGCATTTAAAGTGTAATAATAAAGTGTGTGTGTGTGTGTGTGTGTGTGTGTGTGTGTGTGTGTGTGTGTGTGTGTGTGTGTGTGTGTGTGTGTGTGTGTGTGTGTGGACTCCTGTGGCTCCTATTTGAGTTGGGTTCCTGCCATGTCCCTGTATCGGCTTGTTTTCACTTTCACCTGAGCCAGGAAATTTGTGGTTCAGAACCATGAATGGAAACAAAAACAGAGGTTTTAATTGTGAAACCCCAAGTGAGGGTCGTTTTACGGATGTGTGTGAGAGCCCACTGCTTCTTTAATACATTGATCTGTTCCCCATGATGACTATGATGGGCTGTGGTTTTAGAGAACATTTTGACCACATTTAACTATGACCAGCTGCCCAGCAGGCAAGACACAAAGCTGAATGTTTGGACCACTGGCTGTAAGACCTGGCTGGTCTCATGCCAAAGTGCTTGGCAGAGAAGGCGCAATTAGCAGCCGCAGCCAAAATTGACACCGAGTGTGACGAGCTAATTGAGTACTGAATCTGATATTCAGCCAGGGTGATAATGTGGACGGCATACTTGGAGGGAAATTACTGGAAATTAGAATTAACGTTTCAGAAAGATGTCTTGGACACACAGTCGATCATTTAGCTGAGGGGGGAATGAAAATGTTTCTATCAGCATCCACTCAGATAGCTGGCGTATGTTGTCAGTGTGTGTTGATGATGTTTTTAGGCCTAATGAACCGCAACTGTCTCTCTGTTTTCTTCTGTGGGGTTTCCAGTGTCTTCGCTTTCTCCAGTTATGGTTGTGGTCATGCGTCACTGGAGTCAGTGTTTGTTTTGCGTGTGCATGTCAGTACTCATACACACTACTACACATATTTGTTGGAGATCGTGTTACTGCCTTCTGCCGCTGTCTTCACCTTCTGTCTGGCTGATGATGACTGAATTTGTTTGTGTGTATGATGTCATCAGAGTTACAGTTAGCTTTAAGTATTATTTTCGCTCTTAGTTTCTGTAAGAATCTATCAATATTGACTTTTGGTAAAGGCCTTCCTGAAATATTTTCAGTCTGATGTTATTAGTCTATTTCCTCTGTGCGGAGTGTATTTAACAAACGCCAGAGTCTGTTTCATGGTTGTGTTTTTGTCCTTGTACGTGAAGTGATGTCACTTTATTGCGGCTCACATTGCCAGACTACTGAAGCTGTTCCAGTAAGTTCATTATCATAGTTGTGTGTCTGGTAACTGGAGCCTGACTCAATGTTCTCAAAATATGAAACATGTTTGCTGGACAAACAATGTCACAATAACTCTGCTTTTAAATAGCATCAAGTGCTTTTCTTCTGCATTAAATACTATTATTTCTTCTTCATAGACACCAGTACATCCAATATCAACCAATATATATATTAATGGGGGTGTGGGGTGTGTAGGCAATAATTAAAGCCAAGTAAGGCTGCAATTATTATCTTTATTATAAAATAATTTGCCTTTTTTTCTCTATTAAAAAGATTAAAGATGACCATTATTATTTCTCACAGTCTCTTAGTACAATCTTAGTTCAACATGTTAGCATGCTAATATTTGCTAATTACTACCAAACACAAAATACAGTTGAAGTCAATGGTAATGTCATTATTTATTGCAGGGATGTGGTCATAAACCAAAGTATTGGACAAATTCAAAATTTTTTACCTTTTCATGGTAATCCATCCAATAGTTGTCCAGACATTTCATCTAATTTTAAAACTAGAATTGTCAACGTCATGGTGGTGCTAGAGGAAAAGTCAGGATTTCACTTAAACATTAGGATTCATCGTCTGGCAACCGTGAATGCCTGGAACAAAGCTGTGTGCCAATCTATCTAGTAGAAGGTGATACAGTATTTGTTTGGTCACTAAGTTATTCCTTCTTCTGTGCCCTCACCCTCTTACACAGTAT